CAAAAGCACAAGCGTAAAATATATTTAGAACTGATAATAAATTTAAAAGGCACATTAAATCAGTTAGTTTTTAGGAGAAAAATATCGTGATTTGTCTTTGTGTAAGACAGTGCAGGATAGAAACATGTCCCAATGGTTACACAGGGATATGAAGTCAGTTTTGTAAGAGCAGATGAAACTTTTCAAGAAGACACAGGAAAAGTCACTTCAAATTTCCGTATTAATTTGTGTGTCCATGTATTGATAAACAAAATTGCTTAGATGGTACATGAATTTTAAAAAAACCCTGACTGATCTTGGTGAATACACTGCTCTGAACAGCATCTTCTCCTGAATGTATTAACTTTGTTTATTATCAATGCAAACGACTCTGTGTCTGGTCATTGCCCAGCTTCTCATCTACAGTAAAAAGGAAAATGTGCAATTATCACACAATCCTAAATTCAGCAACTGAACATCTTAGTACATTCCTGAAGGCATTAATTCTCTCCATGAATGATAACAGACCTCTTAAAAGACCACTCAGGATAAGGAGAGAGGATTCACACCTCTACCACTATAGAACAAAAAAGAAAAAAAGAGGCTTGAAGCAAGATGACAGCTTGGAAAGGATTTTAGAGGGGGTTATGTTATGATAATTTAATTTCCCATGTCTGCACTTTTTCCTGCAAATTCTGATGAACAGAAATGAAAGTTATGTTATTGGTGCCATCTGAATGAATCTTTAGAGGTACTGACAATATCTGTTGCCAACTTGAGACAGCAAATCTAACACAAAGACAGCGTTTAAATTAAAATTGTGATGTTAACCGCAATAGAAAAGCACATGAAATGTTTACAGGACTAATCTGCTGCTTAAAACTGATTAGGCTGTAATTTGTCAGCAGGGATTGAGGGACACTATTCTACAAGGAATTAAAAAACCATATTAATTCCCTCCTTAATCATCCTCTTAACATCCCTGATTTACTGCAACCTGTGAGCCTGTAATTAGCTCTGCATACTTCTGTATTAATCATTATCATGAGTCTTCCCAGCTATTTTAGCAATGACACGGATTTCAATTTGTATTTATTAGAAAAATCGATGAAAACCAAACAATTTACAATGGCAACTATAGAAAAATATTATCTGATATTGCTCTGCACCAGATAGTTAAACTCTTTGGAGTTTAATGCTGCCTTGCAATCCTTGCTCCTGACAGCACATAAGCAAAAAGTATCAAACTTTACCTGATGCCATTCAGCAGAAAAACTTTTGGAAAACTTTCCATAAAGTAACCTGAATGCACATTTGAGTACCTATAAACTCTGGCTGAAACTAAATCCAGCTGCCTGTGTTTACATCACAATCACAGTCCAATGAGACAAACCAAAATGTAAAATAACAACGAAACTGTGAGTTGACCACAGGACTATCAGCCAAAATCTGTAACTGTTAGTGCCCTATTTTAAACAAAGATGAAAGCAGAGCTGTCGACCAAGGGCACAGTTTGACATTACAGCTAATTTGATCCAGTGGTTGACTGCTACTGGAAGCAAGTCCCACTTTGCCTTCCCTTGCTGAAGGTTCCCATCTTTTTCTTTGCAGGAACAGCCATATTTTTTCACCTGAACAGTGAGATGCTTCAAGAATCTCTGTCAGGAAGAAGTTTGGAATTGGGGGTTCAGAGGAGAGGGATGGGGGACTAGTTAGCTTTTTGTAGTGAAAGTCTTTCAGTTAGTAACTCAAGAGGATGTGCCAAGGTAAGGAAAGCAGCAGAACTGGGGTTGCCTCTACTGATCCAGCTATGTGGGCAACCTGCAACTTTATCTTCCCCCAGGCCCACTCAGAGAACACAACTTTTGAACAGGTAAGCTGTGTATTTTACCTTTTGGACTCCGTTGTCTTGGGTCCTTTATTCTCCAACCAACTGGTAATTGTCTGCTGTTTGCAAACTGAAAAACCACAGTTCACTGGTTACTACATGGAACACGATAAAACTGCAACACCATTGCATATGAATAAGGTCACTTGTACTGGATGAAATAAAAAACACCTCAATTTAGTCTTCATTAGCATCTCTACTGTAGGGAGGATGCAGACACCAGCAGTATTTAATCTGCTGTCACTTTTGTAATAATCTTTATAAATTCCAGGCTTAGTGTGTGGTGGTTTGTTTGTTTGTTTTCATCCAACATCGTTCTTTTAATATCATTAAAAGGTTAAGAATATACAGTGAATGTCTAGAACAAGAAAAAAGGGGGGGGGGGGCAATTTGATCTTTCCAGCCCTCATCATTACCTTTAATCACCACAACACCGAGTTCCAAAACATGTTGAATTTTGGAACAAAGAGGCAACATAGCTTAAAACAAACAAAGGATGAACAACTAGACATCCTAGGGGACCCATCCAAGAACCTTATTTGTATGCAGCATCCCGGGAAACAAAACGCTTAATATAACCATAGCACACGCTAGAAAGTGACGAGTGCTCAGAAAAGGACATTTTCTTTTCCCCTCTATTCATAAACAGTTTGAAAAGCTTTTCAATGCTTGCTACCCCAAACCAGCAACAAAACAAAGGACAAAATTTTTTCGGATTTACTACCAACAACACAGTTCCAGTTTTATCTGTATATTTTTGCCACTCAGACAAGCTTTCAATTGAACTAATTATGCATAAACTGGTGGGGGAGGATTAGGGAGAAAAAACTCAAAGTAGTTATTTCACAACTGGAAAGTAGTCTTTATTAGCATAATGAGTTTTTAGTAGCGTTTTATTGGGTTTTTTTAAAGGTAATTCTGCAAATGTGGCAACTAGCTTCCATTTCCTTGCTTTCCATTTGCCAAGAGAAAGTACCTACCTGCTACTGCTGACGTGCAAAGTGTGAAAGTGCTGCTTTCAACTCGGTGGGCAACATTTGCAGTGCCCTTACTGTAACAATACTTTTGCAGAACCTAAAAACCAATGCAGCAGATCTGGCTCTTCTGATTTAACAGTCACTACGGGATTTTTCTGCAAATGGAGCTTGTGTAACTTGTATCAGAGGCAGGGTAGGCCGTGGGTAACTTGGGAGACATTGTTTCATAAACGCTTTCCCACAGCTGGTTATCAAATATTATCATCAGAGGATGTAAGAATTTCCAGAATGAAAAGTAACCTCCAGAAAATGTTTGAATGGTTTTAAGTTCATCTATAATGGCACAAATAATAGTGCAAAACTGCCATTATGTGACTGGCTGACCAGGGAGCAGTGCCAAGCTGTGTGCAGGTTACAAGCACAAGGATACCTGTGCCATAATCAGTGCGACAACAAATGCTCAGCCTCACCACACTCAGACAAAATTAAACAGATTTTATCAACTACAATATTTTTACTTCTAAAGATTCTCTAAACTGAAGCCTATTAGTCGTTCTGATTACCAAATTTCACCTTCCTACATTTGAAGCATTAACTCAACTTGCCCATAGGTAAAGGAAAAGCAGCAGCCAGAAAAAAAACAACCAACCTGAAGAGATGTATGAAAACATGAGACAAATAAACCTCTTCAAAGGCAGCTGACTAATTCCTGAGGTATAAACTTGTGCTGAGGAAGAAATACTTATTCACAGCACAATAGAAATTATGGCAGCAGCATCAAAATGAAATGGCTTTGGCCTGAACTTTAACAACTAAGTAACCACGTAACGCACATCACTTTCACACTGCCAGCATCGCTTTTTGCTACAGAAATGGTGGTGAAAACAAAAGGCAACAAAAAGACAACACAAGCTTACTTCCAGGGTAAACAACAGAACTAGACTTTGCTGTAATTTTTTACGTGATGTCTGAATTTCTACTCAAGATTTCCCAAATCATTTCCATAAAACAAACCATTCCCCACAGTCTACCTCTGAGAAAAACAACTAAATTTCCAACTCTGTAGGAGCCCACACCTACAAATTATTACCTGCTCAAAGTTGCTTCTTAGCTGCCGGTCACTGAGGTTTAACTCATCAGCTGCAGAAAACAGCAAATCTGTTTGGGGGCTTTTTCCCCTTCCCTGCATTCCTCTCTATTCCTGAAAGAGGCACTTTATCGTGCATTACAATTTTACTCTGACAGCGTTAGCTCCAAATAAGAAACAAAACTAAGGAAGCCACGTGGGAACTTTTCCGGGCAGCTCTGCGAGGCGGCAGGAGGAGCAGCCACAGCCCGTGTGGGCTCCTGTCACTGCCCTCGGCTCTCCCTGGGACAGCCCGGCACAACCCCTGCCCAAAGCCACGTTCCCTGCAGAAGCCATTCGCCCTCTCTCCTGCAGGACACGCTCCCTTTGGATGCTCGCACCTCTCTGGGATGATCTGCACCATCAGTGCAAGTTTGCAAAGAGTCGGGCACAAAACCAAGCTAAAGATCCCGCGCTCAGCGCCGGCTCCGAGGGGGAGCAGCGCGCACTGACCAGCGGGTGAGAGAGAATTCCAGCCCCAAGGAAGGGCAGCTCCAGGGACACTGGCACAGGCGGCCTCGCCGCCCAGGGCTGCCCCGGGCGGCACAGAGGGGCCCGGGCCCCGCACGGCCACACCGGGCGGCACAAGGGGCGGGGGCCGCTCGGACCCAGGGGAGCCCTGTCCCGCCGCGCCAGGGCCCGCACAAACCAACCTTTGCTCCCCACGGCGGTGGCGGGGCTGCCCCCGGGCCCGTCCTGCGGCTGTTCCGCGGCGCCGCCGGGGCTGCCGGGGCCGGTCCGGGCTCTCTTGCGCGGCCGTTCCCGCCCGCAGCCCGCGCTCATCCTCGGCGGGGCCGCCCTGCCCGCCGGAGACGGCCGGCACCCGCCCCCCGGGGACGGCGCGTCGCTGCGGCAGTGGCTCGGCCCGTCCGCATCCTCCGACCCGCACGCCGGGCCGTTCCCGAGGCGCGGCGGGAGCGGGAATGGGAGCGGGAGCGGGAATGGGAGCGCGAACGAGCCGCGGATCGCGGCAAGATGGCGGCGGGCGCGCCTCACCCCGTCGCCATGGTGACCCGCAAAGCAGCGCGGGCCGGCGGCGCTTTGCGGCGCTTTGCGGCGCTGCCGGGCGGTGCGGGCGGTGAGGGCGGCGGGGTGGCCGCCATGGAGGGCGGCGGGAACTCCAAGGGCACCGGGCTCGGCGGCCTCTTCGGCGCCGGCGGGCTCGGGTACTCGCACGCCGACCTCGCCGGGGTGCCGCGTGAGTACCGGGGCGGGGCTGGGCGGGGGGCAGCGTCCGCGCAGCGACAGCGCGGCAGGGCCCGGCGGCCGGAGCGGGGCCGATCCCGGGGATCCACACGCGGAGCGGGGATCGGCCGTCCCGCCCGCGGGCAGCCGGGGTTCGTCTCCCTGCCGCTCCCCACGGTTCATGTCCCTGCCGGGATGGGGGCGGAGGGGCAGGCCCTGGCCGTGCCGCGTGTCGCGACAGGCGCTGGTCACGATACACCGTCCCCCTGCCCCCCCATCCCGGAGCTCCCGTTCCGCTTCCTGAGGGGCCGGGGCCGCCTTTGAACGAGTTGTGCAACTTCACGGCGGAATCTTCGCTGCTTCCGCGCACGAGGCGTGCCCCCCTTCGCCTCTCGGGATGCGGAGCGTTACTGGGGAAGGTGGTGCTAAAGCGTTCTCTTTATTTATTTTTTCCTTTCAGTGACTGGAATGAGCCCTTTGTCACCGTATTTAAACTTGGACCCCAAGTATCTAGTACAGGTGAGGAGAGGGTTTGTTTTTATCGTATAGAACTCGATCCCAGTGTTTGCACAGCCATCCCAAATGTCCTGCAGCGCTGTGCAGGGTGTGCTGAGGAACTGAGTGGTGAACAGTGGGAAGAATGAATTTTTGAGTGTTTTACCTAATAAAAGCTTGCAGGGCCATGACATCTAGAAGAGACAACCATTGAGAATACAGAGGATTGGTAAGGTTGCTATGTCAGTCCAAGCCTGCTGGGGAGGAGAGGAGATGTCCCTCCCTGCCCGGAGGCTGGCACACCCAAAGCACCCTCACAGCAGTCCTGGCATTGGTCACACCCTCCCCTGAGCTCCCTCCATCAGTAACAGCAGCCAAAATCTCTCCACTCGTGGATAAGTTTTCTGAACTGTGAGTTCTCTGATCATCACCACAACTGTGAGAATTCTGATGAATCAGGAATTGGTCTTCGGAACCCTGTGGAGTTCTGAACTTTACAGAGGTGTTCAGCCAAGCCCCAGACCTGACAGCAGGGTTTGCCATCACAGCAGCAAATGTCACACCAGTTCCCTTATGTCATTTCCCAGCTGAAGGGGGACCATCACAAAGTGAAACTTCCCATTTTGTTCTACAGAATAACGTGGCTGTCACACTTACACAGCTTAACGTTAGTTAATATAAATGATGGCACCATAAGGAAAAAAAATTTGAACACCAGTAATGTTTTTCTTTCTCAGAAATATTAACTGTAGCTGAAAATGTTTCAGTTAATCCAATTAGGATGCATGTCTTAATGATTTTATTTAGATAATATTTTTCTGTACATGTGACTCTTATTATCTGAGAACATTAAATTTTGTAGAATTAGCAGAGTTGCATAGGATCTGCTTATCTGCGTGCCTTGTGTTTGATGGTGCACTATTTCTTCTGGGACTGCAAGCTCTGAATGCAGTTCTGGGGGCTGTCTATTATGTTTCTCTTTCATTAGAAGCTGTTGTAGCCCAGATTACAATGTAACATTCCCACAATGGCAGAAAACAGGGGATGTGCCTCTGTTTGCGTGTTCACTACTGAGGCCTGCTGTTGTTGAGTGGTCAGAAAAAGGCTAAGTGATTATTTAGACCTCTCCCCAAAACACTCCCTAAAAGTTGTCTTGTTTCCTTAGTGCAGTTTGTCTGAGAACATGTTGGTGTTAAAAGTGCTATAGCAGAGGCTGTAGAACGAAGCCTGTGTATATACCAAGAGATTTTAAAAATAGAAATTTGTTTTAAACTAAAAGGTGTTGTCATCAGTGTCATGATACAGTTCTAAAAATACCTCTTGATGTAACACAGAGGCTACAGTCTGTGTTGTAACACTTCACTGCCCTTATGTTTAGCACTAGGGTGTCGAAGTAAAAAGGGAATTCCATTTAAATATGAGAAAGTTTTGGGAATTTTTAGCTGAACAAGTTGCCCAAACAATCTGTGGGATCTCCATCCTTAGAGAAGCACGAGACGTGGGAGTGACTGAGTGCCCAGCACTATCTGACCCTACTTGTAGCAGTGGGGGTTGCACCAAGTAGTCTCCACAGGTCCCTGAGATTCTAAATATTCAAGGAGAAAAAAATAGCTAATATTTTAGAATACAAGAACTTAAATTATGAGCCTTTAAATTTGGGGTTTCTGTGAAGAAAAGAGAGGTGAGGGTCTCCCACGTTCAAAGACCATCTATTTGCTTTACAAATGCAGAGGAAAAGCCTTATTGTTGAGAACCTTACATTCTGATTGTGGTCTTCCCATAATAACAAATAAAGCAGTGGTAGTCATTATTTAAAACCCACTTTCTTGGTTGGTCCGTTAATGCAGGCACAGAACAAGGTGTTTCCTGCAATGCTTTGTTGCCTCCAGCAGGTAACACGCATTATAAAACAGCATTTTATAATGCTACTGGCAGAAGCCCAGAGGATGGGCCTCCTTGATGGTTGTTATAGAAACTTCAGTGTTACATACAGACAAGGATTGGTTCATCTTGACATTTGGGGCCGTAGTGAAAACTGTCAGAAACTGCTGACTAGTGTATGCACTGAACTTCTTCAAAGGTCTAGTTAGAAGGAAGATAGAAACCATATTAAAGGTTCAGTTTATTGATACAGTATTCACCAGTTTAGAAGCTGTATATTTTTCCTGTATTGCCATCCACATTTATGGTCAAGTATGGGCCTTAAAACCCCTTAGAATGCAATTCCTTGAGCTTGCAGTTGTTGCAGTCATGTATCAGTTACAGAGGGGGTGAGTAATGCTGTGGCTGGAAAGCACAGAAGCATAAAAGAGATTTTCCTGCTTTAGCACCTCATCAACACATGTGCATCCTGTTCATGTGTAATTGATAAACTTCTTTGGCCCACCTTAATTTCTATACATGTGCTGGTTTCTCTAGGCCGTTCCTCTACAGCTTCTTAGACAATGCACAAGAACACAAGTCTGTCCCTGTAAGAGAAAGATACACAAGTAAAAAACTACTGACCTCGCTTATATCATGCCTGATCATTAATTTTGAGTGTACTTCTTTTTTCACCTCTTCAAAATAGGGCACTTATTTCAGTGCATGGAAATACTTCTTTTGGCACAAAGGCAATTTTTCTTTAGTGTCAGAGTAGTGAAAAACCTTAATTAAGGCATTATTGCATCAATTTAGGTTGCTCAGTGAGGAAACAGTGCTGCATACTCAGACGAGGAAGGTTTTTGGAGGGCTTGTTTTGCCTGCTGGAAGATTTAATAAATAATTAGCAAATAGTCATTAAAAACAAAAACAACCAACAACCCACACAGTATGAGTTCCTTGGCTGACTGATGCAATTTCTAAAAATTAAGAGAGCTAGGGGGAAAAAAAAAAGCTCTCAGTTTATCTTTTTAAAGTCCTTTTTCACGCTTAATAAAATATACACATACTGTATTCCCTCTCTGTGCTAGCGTAGGCAAGAATTTTCCAGAAACACTCATACTCATCTTTAGTTCATTGCATGAATTAAAATAAAAAGATTAATAAGGCCTGCATTTTGAAACAGGTACATGTGGAAAATACAAAAGCATTTGTTTTTGTGTTCCCCCAGGACACAGATGAGTTTATCTTGCCCACAGGAGCCAGCAAAACTCGAGGCAGATTTGAGCTGGCCTTTTTTACCATAGGAGGATGTTGTATGACAGGTAGGTGGTTGTGTTTTCCTTTTTTCCCAGCTGTCCAGGTAACACCTGTGCACTACAAGAGTTGATAGGTTGGTAAATGTCCTGTTCTGCAAGTCATTGCTTGTTCTAGTCCTACATGAATAGATATTTGACTTGAGTCTGTACACTGAAGTCTACTCTTAGTATTTGTTTCTAGAATTGTTTCAGGGTTTTTTGTTCCTTTTTCTTCTCAAGAAGTAATAACTGGTATTGTGCCAACCAGGGGCAGCGTTTGGTGCACTGAATGGTTTGAGGCTTGGCTTGAAGGAGACACAGAACATGCCGTGGTCAAAACCTAGAAACGTACAGTAAGTGTTCATCTCAAAAGTTCACCTCAGTGACAGAGTTGTTTCCTCCAGCTTGTACAAGGTCAGATATGAATGTACTGCAAAAATAAATGCCTTTTTTTTCTCTTTAGTGGGGACAAATGGCAATCAGTATTTGTCTTCAACAAGTTATCAAATGTTTTTCATTATAGTGATGTTCAGTTCAAGCTTTTTGCTTTTCATTTAGTCACAGTGGTGTCCTCTGACTTACTTTAAGTACTTGAGAATAAATTACTACTTTGATGGTTACTAAAAATCTATTTCAAAGGCAAAACAGTAGTTTTATATGTTGAAATACTCCCAGAGGCAGCAGAGTTTGCTTTGAGCTATTTTTTGCTGTTGTTTTTCTGGTAGCGAGCCTCCCTTCTTTCCCAAGCTTTTCAAAACCAGGAGAAGATTAAAATGCAGAAGCTGGTCCTGCCTGGATTTGCATTAGGGATGACATTGGTGCGTGCTGCTCAGCAAGTGTTGCAAGGTGGAAGTTGTTCTGGGTTATGGCAGCCATGAACACCCATGGCATTAACATGATTTCACCTTACCTGGTTGTTTGACAGAACACAGTAAAAAAACAGGAACATTTTTTTCAAAAGGATGATTCTTCTAGAATTAATAGTAGTTTAGACACAACTATAAGAAAACCTAAGTGAAGGAGCAGTAGGAAATCAGAGAAGTGGAATAACTAGGGAAAAACAATTTTTGCTCCCAGAATGCTTTGTAACAAGGGAATTTTAGAGGAGAAACGTAATATTTCCTGGTACAGTTTATACTGGGTCTGCCCCATTTTAAATTCTATTTCTGTATTCAACCCCTTTATCAAAATATTCACCACTATAATTACAGCTCTTGTCTAGATGAACAGAATTGTGTTTTATGTATTTGGAATGAGCAGAGTTGGACAAAACCGTGTTGTTAAGCACAAACTTTGATGGGTCGAGGCCAGGAGGTGGCAGTCAGTGCACACCCTGCTGTTATCCAGGCCCTGCAAGGGAAAGGCCCCTGAAGGTCATCACCTTCAAACAGTGCAGTAAGTTCTGTGTCTTCCTTACCAGATGCAGGGAAGAGACTTGCCTAGATTTCCTCCAAATTTATCCTAAATGTACTACACAGATTTTATTTTTTTATGAATTTGAATCAAATATCTCAATGTGTCATGGTTATGCAAATTATCAATTTTCTCATCGGTTCAAAATTGATGTAAAGTGAAGAAGCAGAGGTGGGGTTGTAATCAAGGAGAGGTTGTCAGTACCCTAACCTCTTGGATTTTTTTTCTCGTTTCAAAACAAAGTTCTCCAGTATTGTTTAGTTCATTGCCTAACCATATTCAGTAATGACCTGTGTCCTAATGAATATTATAAGAAAAGGGGGGAAAAGTAGAAAATTAAATCAGAAAGGACATAACATGTGACTCTTGTATTGCTTTAAATGATAAACCAAGTTCCAGTGGTAGTCAGCTGTCCAGAGCAGTACTGTGCCTGTGACAGTGTTACACTGCTGGGAGATAAAGATCAGTCATTTCTTCTGGCTGCTGTTGTCCCTGTTCTGGAGACAGCTGAGGCCAGAAAGAAGTGTCACAGTGCTTCTCTGAGAGCGCACTAGAGGGTTCCTTTCCCTCTGCAGTGCTAGTCTGGGAGCATACATGCAGACATACCCAGGGATCTTCACCTCCTCTGGGTCCTACGTTGGACAAATGGAATTGCAAAGGATTGCCTCTCCTCTTTCTGACTTGCTTTAGTTCAGACTTGTTTTTAGTCCCACACCACTTGCTCAGGCATCACCACGATCCCTGGCACATGGAGGTCTTTTGCCCAGTCACCTCAGCATAAGTGTACCAGCCTCTCTAGTGTGTAGTCACCACCTAAGGAACACCTAGGGTTAGAAAGTTACTTGAAGGGAAGAGATTTGAGTCTTGGTGAGGGTTAAGCTTGCCTTGAAAAGAGGTAAAGATTTTCTTAAAATTTGACAGTACTGAGTGTTTGCTTTCAGTATTGCCTGCACACTATCCATGATTGAGATTAAGTATTACCAAGCTGTGAGGTTTTCCTTAATGTTTTGTTTAGAAGAGCTTTCAGTTCATTATTCCAGTTTTATTAAACAAATGTGTAGTGTAAACACAGAAGACGTGATGTCAGACACTGCCTTGATGTAAACACAGAGCACTAAACATTTTCATACCTTTTAACTCCTTTATAGAATTCTAAATATGGTGACAAGGCAAGGAGCATTATGGGCTAACACTCTGGGATCACTGGGTAAGTAAAGTCATTCTTTTGTAAGGAAAACAATTTAAAGATGTAATTGTTGGGAAAGTGTATTTGTGTATCCTCTAAACAGAAGTGTTCTCTAAGTTTTCATTATGAAATCCATTGTGGAAAAAAAATGCAGGTTTTTTTCTCTGGGACATGAGGACATTTCAGTAGGCCTCAAAAATTAAGTTAAAGGCTAAAATAGGGTTTGAAGCATAAGTGACCAAAAGCCTTTACTTGAACTCCAAAGTTTTTACTGTATTACAAACAAGAACACTAGCTATAGAGTAAAAGAAATCACTAGAAATTATAGATAGTGCTTATTTTTTAATAAATTACAGTTAATTCGTAACTTAAGGCAAAAAAAAATATAATTTAATACTTCTGAAGTAACTTTACTAACCTACAGAAAGACTTAGTGGTCATGTGATCAACTGCCTGATGTTTGTTTCCATTTAAAGAGTCAACAAATATTTATCTGAAGTAGAAAAGGGATAGTGACTACAAAGATTTATCCTTTAATGATGGTGCATTAGCTAGAAAAGTCACATTTGACACTGCCAACTCTAAACCTAAATATTGCTCATAACTAATATGGGTTAGGAGAAACGAGAAAAGAAAACGATCAGTAGTCTGATGTATGAGAAAGAGACTTCTGTGAACTGGGGTTTGGGTGGGGAACGGGCTGTGAAATAAAATCAATCAGTTGCCTTAGAAAAACTGGAGAAGATTTCACGAAAGCCAGTGAATAACTAATGCCCTAGGGCAATACAAGCTCTTTGGCCTCCCCCTTACCCCCAGTCTTAAGAGACCAAAAGTTACACAGTACCTTTGGAAGGAGAAATCTAAAACTGATGAAATTATTTTGAAGAAGAATAATGATGGAACTCATTGCCCTACAACATTGTAATGAAAGTTAGCAATATTTAAATTAGATTACATCATGTTATAACCCTACATATGTTTGAATTTTGAGAAATGCATCAAAGGCTGAGTTGCATTTATTACATTTTGTTTCAGTCTTATTTCTAAAGGGTAGATTAGGTCCTGTTCAAATCAGACATTGGCTTTAGAGACATAGTAGAGAAGCCACAGTTAGAGAAAGGTTTCTGAACTACAGCAAAAGTGTCACTTTTTTCATAAGAGATGCACTGATTGCCTAGTGAGTTTTGTTGTGCCTTTTTTTGTTGGTTGGTTTTTTTCTTGTTTTTTGTTCCAAATCTAATCAAAACATGTCTGAAAACTGAGATGCAGACACGCTGCAGTTCAAGGTTCCAGTTTAGGTGACACATTAACATGTTTTTTCAGCTGTATTTGAAGAAAGATTACTCAAGAAAATGTTTGTGCATTCCAGTAACAAATGGTTATTTTTCTTACAAAACATAGCCTCCAAAATGAGAGTTGAGCTGAACTTTACGTTTGGGGGTTTGGTGTAGCTCTTAATCGTCCTAGCTACCAGAGAAGTTCCTTTCAAAGGAGCTGAATTATTTTTGGTTTTGATTTTGCTTGTGCAGCATTTCTGTACCTCAAAGATTCTTTTTGTCACTACTGACAATTTTTGTCATTCTGTTCCTGAACAGGGGCAACATCTGCTTTAAAAAATTATGTTGAATTCAGCTTTTCCTTCCCCTCATTCTTAATACGGCTTGCTGCTTAGACAAGCTAAAATACCATGGCCTGTGCTGAAAGGAGGAAGATGCTGCTGTTCAACTCTTCAGCATTATTGTTGTTGTTCAGGAATGATTTACATGGTTTTTAGCAGAAGTAAAAATTTCAAATTGTCAGCGTGAAATACAAGTGAGGTTTTTAACATATTTCATTTCATGCATGAATAGATGAGGAGTGTTGATGGGGGTGCCTTTTCCCTTCATCAGAATGCACAGATGATAGATGCATCCATAATGAAAAGCCCATGCGTTTTTCTTTCTAGTTGTCTAAAGTTGTCCCAGAGTATAAAGGGATAAAGTTTTCATGCACAGGCAGAGAAGAAGCAGCTGTAAACTTCCATTCCCAAGCCATCTAATAGTAATTTAAATATCTATAAAACAGAAAGAGGTCTGGGAAAAAATCCACCAAAGATGGGATTTTTCAGAGGATTCCACCTCTTTAAATGAGCAGAAAATCTGTGCTTCAGAAGCATAGTCTAAATAGCTACACCAGGCCTGGATTCTAAGCCTTGTGCCTCAGGCAGTAGGGTTTTTAACTTGAGTTTTTTAATCTTTTTTTTTTTTTCCCCACAGCTCTACTTTACAGTGCATTTGGAGTCATCATTGAAAAAACACGAGGTGCAGAAGATGACCTGAACACCATAGCTGCTGGAACCTTGACAGGAATGCTATACAAAAGCACTGGTAGAGTAGCAAAGTGTTTCTCCTTTTCCTCCTCTTGTGCTTTGTCCTAGTTATTAGGATCCTCATTACTCCTACTAAATACTGTCCTGCTCTGCAAATTGACAGTGTAAAAAGGGCTATTAGCTCGCAGTCCCCTAACCCACACAATGTTTTTTCACACAACTAAGACTGCTTAAGGAGAACTTGCACTTAAAAAAAAAAAAGAAATCCAGCTGAATTAAATTTGATTCTTTCCTACTTGTACAGGACTGACAATAATCATGAGAGCCAAATTATGACTCTTATACCTATGTACTGAAGAAACGCTCAAGTATTTACTCAGGTTTATAGTAAGGTCGTATAAAATACATACACACCTCATTCTTAGCCATGTTTTTCAGCAACAGCAGGAATAAAACTAATTGTTTCCCAAGTCCATGAGTGAATGCAGACAAAGTGATCGGGGGCAGGGATGGAATACACAGAACACAGAGCATGACTGCATGAACATGAAACTTCCTACAGGGGATTCACAGGATAGTAATTCATGGGATAGTAGCACCTGGAGCTGCACAAAACCCTACACACAGTGAAGCTGATGTATTTGTGAAGTTATTACTTAGCTGTTGGTGAAACTGTAGTCCTGTGGTAGGACTCTGGTCTTTGCAGAGTGGTCAAAACCAACAAAAAACATCATTTGAGAACAGCATGGCTTTAAGGTTAGTTTGCTGATGCATCCTGAATTGTTTGCAGACGAGGGTCTGAACTTCATCAGCAAAATGCCAGTCAACACGTGTTCCAAGCTTGACCATTGCAGGTGTCATCTTTTTTAGAGGACTGCTGGGTACCACAGATTGATATTACCACATGGAAAAAAGCCTTAAGTAACTCAATAAAGGTTTGGCTATATGAGTCACCTGCATTTTACTGAGGAGATAATTCTAGAATTAACCTATGTACTCTTGCATATCTAACTGAGCCTCAGTGTCTCAAAAGCATTCCTAAGTCCAGCTTTGTATATGGGACAAAACAGCTTGAGCAATCTTATTTTCCTGTTGGCTTAGACTAACTGAAACCAAAAATAGTTGGCTTGAACAGCCTTCATAAATACCAGCGTGTGCTCTTAACTCTGCAAGGACACACAGCTCTCTTGTCATCAATTACTTCCTTGGGGTTTCATGAGTGATGACAGATTACCAACAGCAGTGAGATAGGGTAACAGTGTAGAGGTCTAACATTTTCTGTAGGAGGTCAGTAAGGAGAACTGCCATCTTTCTCTCCAGCAGAACTTTCCCCCTTACCTTTCAGAAGTACAGAAGTGGCATTATGTGTGATCTTGTCTTGGCACAGTGCAGCCACAGGTCACTCCCACAGTCACATGCACAGTCATCTGACACTACTGAAGTTTTTCGTACCGGGGCACAGTGGGACTTTCTGTTTTGTAACACAAGATCTACTGAGCTAATAGTAGCACTGATAAAGGCAAGTGCAGTCAGTAAATCTGTATTCATTACAGTGTTGTATTTCAGGTATGTGCTGTGCATATGAACCATAGCGCAGAGAAACTCAAAAGAAATAAATTTTTCACCATATGCAGGAAGTGTGACCTCAAAGATCAAGGATTAGTTCTCAAAGTGAAAAAGAATATATTCACATCTGTTTCAAGAACTTAGTTCCAATCTTTTTTTTTTTTTCTTTTCATGCACTGTCCCTCTTGCTGCTTCTCCCATTCTGCCTCTCCTGTTACCTTATGCCAGAATGCCCTTTCTATTCTGTATGGTAAAACTTCTAAGTTCTGCCTTTTCTCAGCATCAGTTTATATATTCACCTAAAAACCCTTGAATATTTAAACCCTGCAAATCATCAGCTCACATCTGTGGCACATCAAGATTGTGAATATTTCCTGTGTTACATGGAATGCCGCGTTGTGTTGCCATTGCAAATCAAGGCTGTTCTGTAATTCACAAAGTGTGGATACAGAGTTGGAGGCAGTGCTGTGCAAACACTTCCATCATTCCTGCTTTGTGAAGAGATCACGAACATACTTAAGAAGAAACCTGTAACATATGGCAGGTCTTTTATTATGATTTCGTATTTAAACACGGCACTGATGGAAGAATCACATCAGCAGCCCTGCTGCACTGAAAAATCCTCCTGTGTACATGGCAAAGCCTAGAGTGAGTTTCTTAAATGATTAAGCATTAGATGAGTGAACAGGAAAAAAAAAATAGTGGGAAGACTTTTTGAAGGCTGAGATTTGTTGCCCCAAAGTGGTCCCAGTTTTCACAATTTGTCCTTGTAGAAGTGTTAATCATTACCAAAATGCCAGGAGTCAAACAGAACGTGTACGTTCTAACGCCATGGGATTGTGAGCAGTTCCGTGCAAGGCTACTTGACGTACAAGCTGTGTGTGAGAAGATAAAAGAGGATTGAAAAACCTGCAAGTTAGGACAAACTGTGGCAGGTCAGCCCCCCCTCCATGTTCCCTGGAAGTTGCAGTAGTCACTGAAAGTTCCCCATTGCAGGTGACTAAAGCAGTTAGATCCCCGTTATAAATCCAGTGCTAGCTGGAATCCATCTGCCCACACTGCATGGCTTGGGTTAACAGACACTGAATTGAGTTTGAATGTAAAACTGATTTAAGCAATTTGGAAACATCATAGTGGTTGATTGCTCTGACCAAAGTAATCTCTAGCTTTCACATTTTTTGGAAATTAAATTCAATACCAGTATTACTTACTAGATTTCAGCTCAAATGTACAAGAGTAGTTGGGCAGTACAAAATGTACTGTACGACAGTACAGTATTAACTTGTTTGAGACTTACAACTTTAGGGGAGCTGCTTTTTGAGCTTACCACTTAACTTCTACCCAGACCATTCAGTTTGAGTGACAGACAAAATAAAACCCTTTGTGTTCCTCTGTCAGTGGCCTATGTAGTAAAAATGTTACTGTGACTCAGCCAATTCGAGTTTTGCTAAAAGAGAGTCTGATATCCTAAGTTCATAAGGATGGTTTTTCCATTTAATAAGATCCTATTCTTTACTCTTCAGTTTCAAGAAAAGGCAGAAATTAATATATGTCATGCCAGGCTTTTTTCTGATAAATGCTACAAAGCACAAACACATCTTAAACAAATGGTTAGCCTCCTTGCACGTGATTTCAACCTCTTTTCTAAACCATGCATCTTTCATTTCCTCATGATTTTACTAGTAACTATAAGTAAGAAAAAGATGATTGTCACTGTGCACTATGTCACTGTTATTCCCTCCCACCGTGAAAATGCACATGATTCCAGTCATCCTGTCATAAAGGTACAGCTGGCTGAGGATCTTGCACTCCTCAAGCTTGCAGGATTGATCACTCAGGAAAAAGATACTGAGCTAGGCGGGACTTTGGTCTGACCCAGTGTGACAGCCATTAATTTCTCACTGAAATTCCTGACAGAGACTTCAGTAAGCAAAAAAGTTAACTAACCTTTACCTCTTATCCGAGGGTTACATAGGTTGTAGATGTTCTTTTTCTTAGGTAATTATCCCCTTCCCCCCCCCCCCAAGGTTAGGGGTAACGAGAACAAAAGTAAAGTAATGCTTTAGAAAAACTGCATTACTTTCTTTAATTACTTTAATGCAGTAGGAACCTGACACTAAGCACAGCATCTCATGCCTTTTACACAACAGATGTTATGTAATTTGGTATATAAAGTGGTGTGCCTGAAAAGAAGGGAGCTGCATGCTAGCAATAGCTGAAGGTAGTTGTCATTTTAAGACCTCAGAACACGACCCTGAAAAGTCAATACGTTATGAATTAAGAAGGGCTAAATGTTTTATTGCCAGCAGTAAAGTCTGGCTGGAGCTCAAGATCAGTTCTGTGACATTCAGTGGGTAGTTCAGGGCAGTTGTGTTAGCTGACTGCTTCTTGAGCTATAAAAAGCCTCTTCCCTTTGGGGTTTTTCTTTTGGCCAGACAGGATTGTTTTCTTGTTCTTGTTGCATGGGGAGAGGGAAAGAGGAGCTTTTAGGGGACTACCACAGGTGTGGGCTGGGATATCTTACTTTCCTGCATTATTTGGAGAAAAGCAAGTAAAGGATTTGCTTCTGAACGTTGAAGTTCAGGACTGTCAGGCATTTTAGAAATTAAGAACCTCTTAAAACCTCTTTCAGAGGAACAGGTCCATAGGATAATGAGTTAAATGGTGTTTAGTGTAAGGATTTTGTTTCAGATCTGAAAGAAGGAAGAGATAAGGGCAAAGTACAAGCAGCATGAGAGCTTGTTGAGGCTTTCTTAGTTACTTGAGGACTGATGTCTTAAGAGTATGTGTGGCCACTGAGAGCAGTGCTGCTTCAGTGGTGCCCAGCTCTCCTAGGCAGGAACAGTGAGCCAGGGGCTCATTGCTGCAGGGATCTGCAGATGCCATTTAAAACAGCTGAAGTAGCTTCCTGCCAGTCAGGTGCTGCTTCTTTCGCTCAGTGAGAAGACAGGGAATTTTAATCACGTTTACAAAGTACTTTCAACAGCTCTAATACTTCTAAACTTGTAAATTAAATTGCAAATTCCTGCTGTTTTTCTAATTTAGCCTTCATAGCGCAGCAACTACAGGAAATGTTCCCTGTTTCAAGCTTTGTTGTTTCTGTATTTTAACCACAGTACTGCCTTAGTTGCAGCAATTGGAAAATGGAATGTGCTTTTTTGGAATGTATCTTGCTTCCCGATACAAGTTTATAAATTTTCTCAGTAATTTCTGTATCCACAGACTTTGCCCACACTTAAAAGATTTCATAAAATGAACACCATGGAGCAGCAGGAGGAAACTGTTCCTATTTTCTAATGACATAGGACCACCCACAGATGTTCAAACAAATGTCTTGATGGTTGGGGTGGTCTGGTTAGCACCACTGTGCTTGAATTTGGAACAAAACTGAAATTGCCTTGTACGTTTGAGAAGCTGAGCCCTTGAAAGCATTTAAAAATATTTTTGTTCCTGGAAGCCTGAAAGGAACTCACTCAGAGTATCCAAGAGAGAGATTGGAAGACAGGAAACTAATCACTATTTAATGATTACACTTCATTTGTTTGGCATAAGTAGGTGAGCCTGAGGTTTCACTCAAGGTGTTTCCAGTGTTTGCTCTTGGATGGTTCTTGGTTCTAACATCCCAGGAACTATCCCAGGGTAGTGGAGTAACATTCTGAAAATAGGGACTGTAAGGTTCTGATGACTTTGCCCTCATGTTATGCCATGTAGATAATGGTTTTACCTACTGCACAAGTCCAGTTCAGTGTGAGGAGAGGCTCCTGCCATGAAGAAATGCAGAGCTGTGCTACTGGAATGCTGTGTGTCATGGCACAGCTGCACTGGAATGCAGGGTTGTGTGTCATGGCACGATGTGCACTGGAACCTACTGCAAATGCACAGAACAGAGACAATACTTGATGGTGAAAAGGTCCAGCAGCTCAAGCCAGAGAACTAAACTCCCATTTAGAGAGCATCAGATGTGTCTCTGGAAACCCCTAGCAGTCCTCAACTATGTTCAAGGTACCTGATCTTAAAATACCTGCTTCCAGAAGTGTCTGTCAGCTGGAACCTTTATCTTACTGGGACGTGCAACACAACCACGTTTCAGCAGGGTTTGTCAGGGCAGGCTTGGTATCAGAGGCTTGCAGAGAGAGATTGCAGAGGAGGGGTGGGAACGTGTTCTATCATGCAAACACAGCTGGGACGGGAGTGGAGAATTTCTTTTTTATTTTTGTTAACAACTTAATTTTCTCAGAGAGCCTAACATTTCCTGCCCAGCAGCAGGGCTGCATTCTACAGTGCATTACTGTTTGAAGTCTACCACAGACCTGCTTGTATTTACCCAAATGCAAATCTGACCATTTAGGGAAAGTTTTCTCTTTCCCTTTTTTTGTATTTACCATGGATAGTTCAGAAACCAAGAGCAACTGCTACAAAAAAAAAAATTACTGTTAATATTTTGTAGCAGAAGCTTAGGGGAAACATTCCTGGTAGGAAACATTTCTTGCTTGTTTTCTTGGATATTTTCTCTCTCAGTAATGCACAGTTTTAGTTCCTGTTCACAAAAACACCTTCAGCAATGTCCCCAAGTTGTCTGGGAGCCTACAGACACCTTTAAGCCCTGTGATTGACACTTGTAAGTGGGTTCAGAGCTGCCATCCTTACCTGACTGGCCTCAGCACATGGAAATACAACATTTGTTGTGTTAGAAGTATTACATCTTAGTAGAACTGTGCCTTGAGTCCACAGGATGCTACCAAGTGGCTCAGCTATCCAAAGTAAAGATGATACCTTTCTTGTGCAATCCTGACTTCATCAAATCTGGAACCAGCCTTGATCAGCTTTCAACTGCCTGTTCTTCCATAGAAAGAACAGGATTTTAAGAGGAAAGGAGAGGAATTAAACTTGGAGGCTGAGGAAAGAACCTCTGGGAATAGCTATAGCTCTGTCTGCATTGTGTTCTGTGGGGATGTTCCACACTCTGCATTTCCCTGTACACCCTAATGATCAGTTGATTCCTGATAAGAACAGCAGAAAATCAGGCTCTAATGTTTTATACATTTTTCCCAGCAGAAATGAGGAGTCAGTATTTTTACAGATTATCTCAAATACTTGTTTTGCACAAAGTGTCCTTTAAATTTCACCTGTGGCTTTTTGCCAGACACTGCTTGCACTTGGTTAGTTTTGTGTACCCAGCTGCAACCCCTTCATATGAAAAGCTTTTTTGTGCAACAAATTCAGGATCAATTAGCAAACACAGAAGCCTACATTTGCTTTCCTAAATGCTGATTTAGGCACATAGGGAATACTCAGTAAGGCTTTTCTTAGAGCTGTTGAATTCTCAGCAGTTAGGGCGGTGAACTCAGGTTTATACACCTAAAAGCTCTCAAATGATCACAGCTGGTCAGGGAATTAATTTTTTAGAAACTATGGCTAGACATGGCTTCTAGTATCAAGTTTAACAACTCCAGTGGAATCCATTTAACCTTACAACACAGGAAACACAGTCTCAGTCTGACACCAGCAGCTTTGTGCCCCAATACAAACCTAAAAACAATTTTGTGAGACAACTTTATGACCCACAATAGGAAAAAAAAAAATCTCTCTAATTATCGAGATGGATTTGCTTTCAAGTTTGAGGAACCTGAATTGCACTGCCAGTTTCACCAATAAAGCAGACAGGTTTTATCTCGCTGCCAGGAGAAACTGGCCTTGTTCTATACACTGTACACGTTATCTAGCTTGCTTCAGCTGCAATGATAAACATTGCAGAATCAACCTCAGTGAAGTTTTCCCAGCACTGAGGGTCACACTCTCAGCTGTTCCTGTGCATTTATGATGCATTCTGGGAGCTCTAATGAGGCACTTCCCACTACTGAGGAATAGAAGCATTTTGCTGTATAGTAAAAGCATCAGAAGTCTCTACTTCTGCCCCTGTACACCCTAGCACTGCATGGATGGAATGGAGTTAGGGTGCCATCTGACTCCCAGCTCCACCCAGGTACCAGCCAAACTTGCCCTCTCTTTTTACCTTACACTAAGGTGCTCACAAACCTTAATCACCCGTGTGACAATTTTCGCTATTGTGAGGTGATAATTTTGAATATTAATAAAACTAATAGTAAAGAAGTTGTTCAATGTACACCCTAGTAAATTCTTGCAGTTTATTTCCCTCCTGCTCTTTCCAGCCAGAACTAGTTACCATAACTGAAAAACCTATTCCTCCTCTGAAAACCTAAAAGGAAGAGTTCTTACAGCAGGAAGAGATCATACCTAACTGTAAACAATTGTGTTAAGGGCAGATGAAATAGATTAAGTAGGACTTGGGAAAAGCCATCTTTGCTTCCAGTGCTCTGTAGTGGTTCCACGAGGCAGTAGTGCTAACACAGTCTGAGAGGAAGCCATTACAGCAGAATGAGTGTCAGGACCAGGAGTGACCTGGAGCCTGGCAGCAGGTTTGAGAGGAAGGTAGAATTAGCACAAGGACCCTTTCTGGAAAGTTACTCAAAAAAGAAAACCTTTTGCATTAAAATGCCTCTGGATTTAGAGCTGCCAGCTTAGAAGTGCTGTTAACTGACCATTTCCTCAAATATGAGTTCAATGAGCTTTTACTCTTTTTTCTGTTTCAGGGGGAATGCGTGCGATAGCACGAGGTGGGATCGCGGGTCTGACGCTGACCGGCCTCTACGCTCTGTACAACAACTGGGAGCACATGAAGGGCTCCCTGGCCCGGCAGTCCCTGTGAGCAGGGCAGAGGACACGCCTGCATAGTCACCAATCAAATCAGTTGTGAGATATATCTGGTGCCCCTTCCTATTTTATTTACAATTAGTGTGAAGCTGAAGGAAGCTGTGTTGGGAGGAACCTCTTGACACCGTGTAGCTGGACTGGCCCTTTCCTTCCCGCCAGCCAGTTGCTGGAGAGGCAGCAATATTTGTTGGACTTGCAAGTGAACAGAGTGGCCACCAAGACAGTCTCCCTGGCACGCTCACCAGCCAGCCCTGGGCCAGAGCCACAAGGCCCGCTCGAGTCCCACTGCCAGGTTTGTTGGGGCACGGCAGCGACAGCCCTGTAATAAAGTCTGTATCCATAGAGCATTCCCTGCAGCCTCAGCACACAGCACCTGGCAACTGGCACAGGGCAAGGCTTGTTACTCTGACAGCACAAAGCAAGCTATGAAAAGGGACATCATCATTAATAAAAAGGGTGGTACTTACTCAATGCCATTTCTATCCTTTGCTGTTCCTGCTACTGATAAGACAAAAATGAGCTGCATCCAGTGACTTATTTACGGATTTATTTTGAAGGACCAACATGATAAAGTCCTGGGGGAGTCGGTGCATGAGGGGAGGTGGATTAGCAGGCTGATGGTCTCCAGATGTGATTATGGTGAGGGTTGACTGCACACCCTTATTTGCTCTAATAAATAAGGAACTGCTTGTTTATGGATGAGGTACAGTTGCTGTTGCAGAACAGCTACCAGTGGATTATAAAAACACTTGGGTGCTCCAGTATCTCAGAACTCATTTAGCCAACAGTTAAAAACCAACAGTATAAAAGCTCCTCTCATTGCAGGACTTTTAATTAGCACAAAGCTTTTTGCCTGAAATACCATTTTTAAGGTTTTGGCAGAATGAAAACTGTGATGAACCTTCACTTTTTCCAGTGTTAAAATTAAACCATGTACCAAGCATCATTTGTGCATAAATTAAACAATAAGATGTTAATTAGTTCAGTAATTAGAGTTACTGTGTAACAGCTCGTTCCTTCCATGTTTAAAGAATTAAACAGGTAAATTATTAAACCGGTCTGAAGACAGTGTGAAGGCAGGGCCAGGGAAAAACAGGAAATTTGCTGCTTAGCAGACAACTAAGCTAAACAAGAGTCTACTTTGAGGTCTCCCTGCTGAAACAGTTCTCAACAACTACATTGCACTCGACAAAACAAAGGCAACAAAAAGGCAGTAACAGGAAGGTGGTCTCTCTTACCTTCCTCCAGAAAGAAACGCAGCTTTTGCTAAGAAGCCTCCTTAGGAGGAAATGACCACCGAGACCAGCTTTTTATAGAGCTCCAGCTAACGAGCCCTCACAGCTGAACTCAATCAGCTTTGCTCGGATACCCGGTCACATCAGATGATTTATGCCAGCAATGCCTGTTTTTGTTATGCCTTATGTTTCACAGTCTTCAGTGGGCTGCATGTTACTGTTGAGGTGTGAGAGCTGGACTTTCCAGCGGGCAGTTTTTGAGGGCTCTGCCACCAAAGAAACTGTTCCCTGCTCGGAGGCTACACAAGGGTGACGTGGGCACTGGCAGCACTGTCACGTGGGACATCAGGAAACTGTGTGCTCTTCTTCTGAACTTCTTCCCTCCTCGCTGGCCTCAGTGAGTTCCTCCCCCACGTTTCTTGGCCACCATTAATTGGACTTAAGTTCCAGCACTCTTGACCATGATGGAGGAAGGATGGAGAGCTGCTTTGGGGGCTGATAGTGGGTGACGGTTGCTTTTTAAATCAGGAACTTTGTATCTTTTAGGTTTTCTAGATACTTTTTCAGGACTAAAATATGACCCAGGAGCTTTCTGCCCTCATTAAATGGGAAAACTCTGAAACTTAACAAATGTCTTTCCTCCATTAGGTACACTAGAGATAACAGAGACGAGTAAGCCTGTTCAAGTTCAGAGTTAGCACAACCTTAAGGCCAAGCTGACTCTTGAACAACTTAGCATGTTATCTGGCCTGCAATACCGTCAGGTCTCCTGGAACTGCTTACCTCAGGGGCAGAGCCGAGTGCATGCTCTGAAATGGCTGTGTTACAGCTATTAAAACCTTTGGTTCATAGTTTGTTGGTATATGGAATGATCCATAGTTTGAGCTATGAAACACAACCAGCACGGAGGCAGCAGTGAGGGAGGTGAACTGTGCATATGGAATACAGAAACTTGTTTATGATACTCTGTGTCATGACATACTGTGTTCACAGTTTAATGGCAAACAATCTATATATCAAAAGTAAATGCAAGTTCAGTAGGAATAAAAGGAAGTAAAATTAAGTTGCAAATAGGATTTGGCAAGCAAGTTACAGCCGTCCCATGCAGCATTACATAATTGTGAGCATGGGAGACCGTGGCTGTCTTGATGAGCAGGGTTTTGGTGCCAGTCTGGCATCCAGCTTTGCTGAGAGATCCAAGGCAGCTTTCCGTGCTGGGGCAGCAAGGGAGGGACCCTGGGACAATGGGTGTAATTAGAGGTTTTTGAATCTCTCAAGGCTGGGTATGCCTAGTCTTTGGAACGGAAAGGCACACCACTTGCACCATTCCCTGTCAGCAGATGACTTCTCTTGTGATTGGGGGAATTTGTTGAAAAATCAACGAATTTCTACTGGTCATGGTAGAAACCTCCAGCTTCCCTGAAGCAAGAAGCTGCTTTTGAAAATAGGAAGCAAACATATGTTGGGGAGAAAAATGATCCAGTGTTCATAGCCTGTGTTTCCTGTGACTGCAAAAGAAGCAGAAAATCCTTTTTTATGCTTTAACAGAAGGTTACTCCTGTTCTTAATAAATTCTGGATAGGAAACTGGTATGTTTTAAGTGGAGCTTTGTGTCCTCTGTGAGCATTGGACTGTGCTGGTGAATGCCATCCCAGTGCAGGGACACCAGAGGGTACCAAAAGCCTTTTTTACTTTCACAGCTTTATTAATACCAGACATGTGTCCCCCTTGGGTGTCTCTCCCCCTTCTGCCAGCCACACTCGCTCCCCGCCTCTGACAAGAGCTGCCCAACTGCACCACAGCTGGTTTAGGGCCGAGGAGTGGAGCTGGTGCCCCAGGAACCCTGCAAGCCCCCTGTTCCAGGGAGGTGTGGTGGGAGGGAAGGATGCAGCCCTCACCAAAAGGCATCAGTCCGATATCTGAGAATGTTCAGTCAAAGAAATCTCCCCAAAATTTGAGAAGCCGTGAACAGCAGAAAGGCTGCCAGGCCCAGCTGTAAATGTTACTGGTACAGGGCAGGCTGGAGTTTAAAGGAATGGAAAATCCTCAAAGAGGAACCACTCATGCAGGGGAGTCTGATGTTCAAACACCAAGAGAGCCAGAGAGGAACTCGATTCCACTTGCACAGCCAGACCACAGATGTTTTTCAGCCATGGGAGAAGAGCACCAAAAGCTACTAAAATCCATGAGTCCTCTCTCAGTATTCAAGAGTGATAAGAAGCAAATGCATCACTTTGTCTAAGTCTGTATTTCTCAGAGCAGCTGAGCAAAGCCCAGGAGATTCAGACACAAAGCTGCCTGTCCAGGGGCTCGCACTGCAGGGCAGTAAAAGGCACGAGTTCCCCACTGGCTGCACACCCTTTCCCAGTGGAGCTCTGTGCAGCTCCCGGCAGTGGTGAAATGAACTAAAACACGTGAATCTCATCTGAGGATGGAAGCACAACTGCGGCAGCTCCCAGACAGAGGCCAAACAGGGCATGCCACAGCATTGTTTGTTAACCATCTTGCAAAGGAGACACAACACACCCTTTGGTTGCAATTATTTTTTAATGGAAAAGACTAATCAATGTTTTACATAAATATCAATTAGTGACAAGTCAGTTGAGTAAGTAAAGGAATACATACCTCCAAGTGTTAAAGGCCCATAATGAACGGACAAAGTAGCACACAATGACAACTACAAGGAAGAGGTGGGCTGCACGTCAATCACCTTCATAGAATTCAACTGCTAATCACATCAGGCTATTATGGAGTAGTCACAGTGCAGTCCTCCCATACAGCGACAAGGACATGTTTGAAGGGGACAGTGAACTTCCAAAACACCTTTCTGCCTCCAGCAGAAAGCCCTGGCTATGAATGTACAAAAGCCTCAAGTGGTTTGCTGATGTTAAGCCCTTTCAGGGTCTGGTTTCAGATGTGCAGTGTCCCCTTCTCAGATTAAAAACTTATTTTTAAACAAATGCACAGGTTCAATCAGACAGGAATGTGTTCACACTGCAAAGTGGTACCAAGGTCGGATCTTGATAATGATTTCTTTTCTACAGGGTTGTGAAGAACTCAAATAACTTCCGTTCCCAGGCAGGCTGCAGAAGGGGAGGCTATTTTCATAAAGAGCAATTTGTTGAGTGAACAGAAATTGCACCAGAAACTACAAAGCTTCAGTTTTTCATGATCCATATTTCCCTCTAACATCTTTGCGTTCTTTCCTATGGGCTCAAACTGCTAAATATCTGAAGAGGTGTTGCTCATATTATGTCCACAGCTATAGGGATGTGAGTTACTGGACCCCACTTTCACATGCATAATCACATGGAAATCCACAGATTAAATACCTTTAAGCTGCATCAGTGGGAGCCACACAGTTTGCCAAGTTAGTGTTTCCCAGTGAAACAGCATGACATCAATCTCCTGAAAGGCATCTAATTCACCAAATGTTACCTTTAAATATTATATGGCTAAGATGCCTGCTTTGCAGTGGTTTAGTTGATAAAAATTCATTATGAATTATCTAGAACTAGCAGAAACAAGACACATTCCCCTTTACAGCTTTTCCAGGGACACTCAAATAGTTATTAAACGCTGGGGACACGGGAGGATCTGATCTCCTGGTGCACGAAAATTAACACCCTACCCTGTTCTCTGAACAGCTCAAAAATCTGCAAGAAGAGTTTTCATTTAAAAATAAGTTACCAATTCTCCTGTTGCATGCCAGGTCCAATAAATCCGTGTCCTCTTCAAAATCTGGACTACACACACGCAGCTGGGAGATGCACCAATACAAGATGCAAATGAAACCTTCGACGTTGGCAACTGCTCAGTGAAAGAAATTGCTTCCAAATACAGCCTAAGTTACCTTGCAGTCCCCGTACGCTGGAATGCAATGCATGGCCAAGTTGTAGCAGCTGAAAGAAACAGCAGCACTTCTCAAGTCGCTGCCAAAGGTGGACGTTTCACAGCACCAGGAAGATTTTGCTTTATACTTGCACTGGCTTCAACATACTTCAAGTGACAACCCATGAAAGAAGATCCTTGTATCCCCATAACAGACGGGAACTTGCCAACACCTCTACAGCATCAGATTGCTTATGCTCAGTGGGTTTACATTTCAGAATTAATCATAACAAAAAGGCATTTCTGCACCATAACTCTGTTACGAGTAATCTTTCTTTCTGTTATAATTTTAGAAGAAAAAGCAGACGGCCGAACACAAAACACAAGAACTCAGCTGGCTGCAGTCACTC